CAAGTGGAGGAGTGGGGAATCAAACATGGTTCTCTGAGATTAGAGTCCATGCACTTAACCAGTACACCAAACTGGCACACCCTTTGAACTTTACAGCCAGTAATTGTAGATTTTCTGGGCTGTATGGCTGTGGTCTTGGCATTGTAGTACCTGACGTTTCACCAGCAGCTGTGATGGGAATCCTCAGAGGTATAACACATAAGGATGGAGTACTCTCTGTGTCAATGTGAGAAGAAAAATGGTAGGTAGGCAATTTATATCTACTCAGGAAGGTGGGGTAGGGCTGAGTCATTATCTTGTAGGTGTAATTCTTTTGATATATGGCAAAAACACACAAAAAACCTTGTGAATCATCTAAACCACTCATTCATAAGCATTTTAAACCAACAAAAGATTTCGATACCAACACCAGCATCATTGGCATAAAACAGATTTGAGACAGATCTTTGAGACAGGTGAGGTGTATGGAAAACTTTACCAGAGAGTTGAGAATTGGTGTCATTTATATAGAGATGAAAGGGAAAGAAAGCTAAAAGTCAGCCTTGTTGAACACCGCTATTTACTCTGATCTGTTTGTTCAAGTGACCATTATTTTGGCATCTCACTCATACAGTATTATTTTGATATAAGTTGTGGATTAGCCAAAGAAGCTGACAGTCCATCAATGTCAGTGCTAATTTCCCCCACAATCTATTACAGGAGATACAGTCTAAGGCAGTTTTGAAGTCCATAAAAGCCACATAAAGTTTATCTCCAGATGGTTTAAGAATTTAGGGATGAATGCAAATTTTGGGCAGTTCATTGTTCCTAAAGTGAAATTTGTGACAGGTCAATTGGCATGAACTTTCCAGGAACTTTCAAGCAGTTTTTGGAGGTTTATTCCGGTCCATGAATGCATACATTTCCAGACAGACTATCTCCACTCAAACAAAATGTTTACCAGTCTTCAAAGCAACAGGCCCACCAGGCTTCTCCATCCTTGGCAACACTGTTGTCAGTTTCACACTAGTCATGTCAGTTTCAAGAGGGTCCCCCTCTTTACCGCTGTCGCTTTTTCTTCATTTCCCAATTTCTTGCACAGTTTACAAAATCCCATGCCCGTTGCTTGGAATTGTGACTTTATGCTTTGTGATCAGTTCTTTTAAACTTGCAATGTCAGTGCCAATGGGTTCTGCTGGGCACTCTGGGATTACATTGGTACTGCTGGGCACTCTGTACATTGTGATGGTTGTGCTGGGCTTAAAAAAATGCCCCCCTTACTTGGGATTGTGATTGAGCTGGTATTGCCACATAGGGGTTCTGCAGGCCACAAGTACATCACACTAGTTTTACTGGACTTGCAACAAGACCCATAGCCAGTGGTAGGGCACCAAGGGGAGCACCCCCTATAAATTAGCAGGGCCCTCCTATCGGGCAGGTACTATTGAATGCCCAACAGGAAGACAAGCATAGTTACCAGACCAGGCTATCCACAGGAACAAGCTGGCTCGAGGCTTGGAAATCTGAGTCAGGCGGCTGAAGCACAGGGGGATCTTCTGGAGCCAGATGCTGGTGGCTCAGGCAGCCCTGGAGGTGCAAAGCTTCAACCAGCTGGCCTAGCTTTCAGACAGGAGCCATGCCTGCATGTCCTATCGCATTAACCTGGCTCTGCAAGCTCCTGGCTCTACATAGCAGGGAAGCCAAAGCCAGCAGCCACAGCACAGCAATGGATCCAATGCTAGATTGCACTGGTTCTGCTGGGCTTTCAAACCCCTTTGCTTGGATTTTGAATCTATGCTTGACATCAGTCCTGCTGAGCTTGTATCATCACAGTGGCACTGAGTTCTGCTGGACATTCTGTGGTTGCACTGGTGCCGCTGAGCACTCGTACATTGTACTAGTTCTATTGGGCTTGAAAAAAATGCCACCCCCCCTATAGTCAAGAAAGCTAACACTTAGGCAGAAAAAACTCTCTTAAAGGAGACCAGTTTCTTGACACAGAGTTAGGAGTGATCCTAGAGGTCAACTATTCTAACCCCTTTGCTCAGTGCTGAAATTAGTCAACTATAGCACCCTACTCTGCTTAAAGGAGTCACACCTTTAAAAAAATGTTTGGTGTAGTGGTTAAGTGCATGGACTCTAATCTGGGAGAACTAGGTTTGATTCCCCACTCCTCCATTTGCACCTGCTGGATTACCTTGGGCAAGCCACAGCTCTGGCACAGCTGTTCTTGAAAAAGAGCCGTTTCTGTCAAGAGCTCTCTCAGCCCCACCTACATCACAGGGTGTCTGTTGTGGGGAGAGGAAGGGAATGGAGTTTGTAAGCCACTCTGAGACTCCTTTGGGTAGTTACATAAATCCAGGGTATAAATCCAATCTCTTCTCTTCTTCTTCTTGATTGCAAAAAGATTTTCAGGAGACATTCTTGTGGGGCTGTGACTTTAAGAAAGGGGGCCATGCCTCCAAAAGCCCCACTGTAGCTCCAGGCCTGGAATCAGGAGACTCCTGATGTTGCGGCATAACTGCCCGCAAGAGCAGCTCTTGATCTTCTGTGAGCCATTGACTGAAGAGTGCCGAGTCCATCACAACAGGATGGCTGTTGATTATGTCATGCCCCTCTCTTTAAATAGCCAGCTCTGTTCCTGTAGGCACTCATTTATTGGTGGACAAATAAGGGGATGGCAATGGCTCCATGAACGGAGCTGCGGTGGCTCAAGTGGCTAAGACACTGAACTGCAGGCTGTGGAAGGTCAGTAGTTCAGCAGTTCGAGATCCGAATGTGCCACATGACGGAGTGAGCTCCCGTCTCTAGTTCCAGCTCCTGCCAACCTAGCAGTTACAAAGCAAGAAATTGCAAGTAGATAAATAGGTACCACTTTGGTGGGAAGGTAACAGCGTTCCGTGTGCCTTGGTGTTTAGTCATGCCGGCCACATGACCATGGAAATGTCTTCGGACAGCGTTGGCTCTTCGGCTTTGAAACGGAGATTAGCACCGCAACCCTAGAGTCGGACCCGACTGGCTTTCGAGCAAGGGAACCTTTAATGGCTCCATATGGTGGGGTCTGAAAAATGAAGTAAGAACTCTTCACATTCTCCACCTACTTGTGAGACCGCCCTTCAGTGAGGTTGCTTCCCTCCCCATGCATTCTACACTGAAGTCCGTTAGGCATCAGAACTGGGGAAGGGAGGATGATAGCTGAGCTCTACAAGTCCTTCATTCCCCCCCCTGAAACAGCACTCTTTCTCTCCCTCTGGAATTGCTCTGTTACATTCCTCCCTGGCATGTCTTTGAAGCCAGCCTTTGATTTCCTGCTCTGGTCTTCCTCCACGCTCCTCTGTAGTTTAGGCGTCAACCATCCAATTCACCGGATGCTCCCTACACCTGGATCTGGTCTGGCCTCATCTTTTCCCACGGTCCAGATGTTCCTCTCCCATCATGTCCCATCATCCTGCTACAGATTCCCTCTGTCCCTTAGGCAGGAAAGCCAGTTTCCTGCCACCTCTCCCTCCCTCTGCGGGCTGGGGAACAGACAAGGATCCCAGCTCTGGGCCCTTGGTGGGGAAGTCTGAGTCCAGGCACCAGCTCGTGTCTAAACAGGCAAGTAGGACAATTAGCATTGTGAAGTTCAAGAGGAAATACGTGATGGTGGTGATGAAGGGAGAGCAGGCCTTTCATTTAAAAGAGAGGGCGGGGGCCCCTCCGAATCATGGAAATGGGGAGCAGAACTGTGCAGAGTAAGGACATTCTTCTTCTTGATGTTTTGGACGGGAGGACCACCCAACGTCATTTGGTGCCTGAGCAGAACTAGCTCAGACCTATAAACACAGGAAATAAGGAATCCTGACCCACGATGGAATTTGCCTTATGGTCTGTAAGCAGTTGGCCTGAGGTATAACTTGCGTTGACATCCCACGATGTTGGAAGGGAAAACATGATTAATTGAACTGCCACCCTTCAGGGACATTATAGTTATGAGTTTAGTCTTGAAGCCAATTACATCATGGGACTGCCTCATTTTCAGCAACAGAGAGAGAAGAAATCAAGGTTTCAATGAAATGTTGATGAACTCTAAAATCTGTCCAGTTTTATTGCCCAGAATTTGAAGCATAAAACCAGCGGGAAATCTGACACTCAAAAGGTAGCACCAGGTTTCAAAATCTGTCTCGATTACCTGAACAAATATTTCATTTACTACATTATTCTTATTAATTTACTGAAAATGTTTAATACTTTTCTAATAATTTTTCATAATTTCCATTTACTAAAAACCTAACCCTAATTTATGGTGCACTCCTGCGCTCGGTTACTGATTGATACATACCGTGGTTGGACTCATGCGGCATGTCTGTTGTAAACCGATGTCATATTCCCTGCCCTCTGTCATATAGTGACCAATATAGTGACCAATTAGATAAGCATATGGAGCAGAGGTTCATCAGTGGCTATTAGCCACAAGGTATAGATAGGGACTCTGGGGCAAGTGATGCTCTGTCTTCTTGGTGCTTGGGGAAGGTGTCAACAGTGGGAGGGCTTCTTATGTCCTGGCCCCACTGGTGGACCTCCTGATGACACTGGTATTTCTAGCCACTGTGTGATACAGAGTGTTGGACTGGATGGGCCTTTGGCCTGATCCAACATTGGCATCTCTTATGGTCTTATGAGAAGACAGAATTTGACTCAGCAGTAGACCCCAGAGGAATCTTAAAATTTGTGCATTGCGGGCAAAGCCGGTGATCTGCTTCCGCTGTAGTCAGCCCTGAAATGCTGCAGGTTCATTCCTGATCAGACACAACTAAACTTGGATAGGACTTCTGACCGCGTCCTTTAAATACTGAATGATGAGAGAAGTCTGCAGGGTAAAATATGCTCACACTGTAATATGAGGTGAAACACCTTAAGAAGTGCCATAGGGAGCACTGATTTAACAAACTAAACACTCAGAAATGAGTCATGCATCCAGTGCTCCCGAGAGATGGTATAAAAGCTCTCGACACCTGCAACCATCTCCACAGCCCTGCTAGGATCTCTTGCTTGCTCCTCCACTGCAACTGCTCTTGGTAAGTCCACTATAACTTCTTCTCGTGGTGTATGAAATATACGGCAGGAAAGCCAGACAGAAAGTCAGGAAAGAAGATGCTGCGAAAGTTCCTCCTTTGGAAATGGTATCGATGCAACCAATGTCATCAAAGTAGATGGAAGTAGAAGGTCCTTGGAGAGATTCTGAGGCACAGGGATTAAAAGGAGGAAGTGCAGGTGGCTCTCAGGAAAATGGACAGGTGTCAAGGTAGAAAGGCATAGAGGAAATTTGTACGCCACTTCTGCAGTACCGGAGACACCTGCCTGAATGAGATGGATTAAATGGGACATTTGAAGTGTGGACTCTAAATAATAATAATAATACCTTTTGATTTTATTGATCGCTCAATCCAGCAGAGCTGCTGGCTCTGAGCGATTTACAGTTACACGGTTTCACCCAAGGGACTAACAATTTCATAGGGGTAAGGGAGGACAACATATAATTCTTTAAATCGCACACATTTGGCAGCCGACAGGGATTTTTGTTCAGCTGTAGGCTTCAGACGTGTTCCAGAGGCATTCACTTTTCGGCTTGGCTTGATGACGTTGGTTCTTCCTGAGCTGCTTTGAATCATAGCGCCACACTGCCACCACCTGGCCGGATTGGCCCATTACAGGCTTCTTAATGCCGAAGAGGTCTTTTTATCAGGCTTCCAAGCTTCCGAGCTGGACATTCCATTCGCCGGCTAACAACTCCCACCACCGGGGGGTTTAGTGTGCCCACCCTCTCTAAAGAGTGGTACCCATTTTTTATCTACTCGCCGAAGCTTTCGAACCGCTGGGTGGACGGCAAGCTGGGGACAAGGCTGGTAGCTCACACCAGCGCGGGCTAGAACTGACAGCAACTCTGTTCAGTTCAGATGTTAACCAGAGGATAAATCCTCTGTGCCACCACTCCCCTCCCTGACTTTATACTCCCTGGGACAATTGCTATACTCACGACTTGGTCAGTTTGTTGTTCAGTCTATCGTATTGACATTTCCCATCCTTTCATGATGTCATTCCAGACTCACCTCCACCTTTCCAAGATGTCCTGCTGTCCTCCATCCTGTGCTGTCCCATCTTGCCCCAAGCCTTGCTGCTCCCCCTGCTGCCCCCCCTGCTGCCCCCCATGTGGCTACCCAACAGGCGGTCTGGGCTCACTGAGTTGCTGCCCCAGTCCATGCTGCCCCCCTTCATGCTGCGGTAGCTCGACACCGGCACGTTGCCTTGGCATCACCAGTGGGGCCAGCGTCTCCTGCATCAACCAGATCCCACCATCGGAAGTCACCATACAGCCACCTCCTTTGTGGTCCCAGGGCCAGTGCTGGCTGCTTCCTGTGAGCCTCTCCGAGTGGGAGGCTACACAGCCTGTGGCGGCTGCCCCCCCTGTGGTCGCATCTGTTAAGCTGGAAAAGGGAGCTTCACACGAACGGGAATAAAACGGCTACCTGAACAGCATGGAACGGATTGACGGCTGACGACTCCACAGACTTGAGTGTCGGAAGAAATGACACTTCCTATTTCAATTCAGGATCAGTTGGTGCTTAACAACATTTCAAAAGCCCATGACCTCAAACATGTGTTAGTTACTTTGTATTCTCTCTACTCTTGCCCTGAAAGTTCCCCCCCCCTCTTAGCTTCACTTCATTTTCCTAAACTTATCTTTTATTTATTTTTATTTTATTTATTTAACTTTCATACCGCTCTAACCCCAAAGAATCTCTTAGCGGTTTACATATATATATGATTAGCTACACCTATCTAGGGCCACAATTTTTACAGGGGAAGGTGACTACCTACCAGCACCCAGACAGCAGGGCTCTTTTTCTTTTCCCGGCTCCTTCATGGTGGGCACTTCACCTCCTGGCAACGGTGTCTTTTCGGCACAGCTCTTGTTCGCAGCGACTCCTTCCGGGAGAACTTTTCCCTGGTGTGCGGCTGTATGATGGCTGCAGCTGCGATCTACGATCTTGATTTCGAGACCAGCCTCTGTGGGGCTCTGAAATGTTTTTGGAGTCCACAGAGGTCTTCCTGCCTCAACAGTAACCTGTGTTCATCTCTGTATTCATTTGCTTTGTAGCTTTTCAGTTATCCCAGCTAAATGGGCAGTGGGAAAGCCACTGTTTGCTGAGTTAAGAAGGTATGATTGTCATCCCTGAAACTGCTTCACTGGAAATGAAATTTCTCCCTTTCTTTCTTTTTCTAATAAAGCTTCCATTTGCATCAAAAAAAAATTGTGGATTCAATTGCTTGTTATTTCTAAGAACTTGAAAAGTGGGGAGGGGTCATGGCTCAGTGGCAGAACTCATAGGATAATATATTAAACACATCAGCATAATATATTAAACATATCAGATTTATGGTGGAGGGTACCATCAAAGGACTGCCAATTACGATGCGTATGACACTTTCCTTTGCCAAAGCTAGTGTATCTTTTTATATCATCTGCTCAGGAATGTGGGTGAGAGGATCCTGCTGCATTCCAACCATTCCATTCTTTTCTTAGTACTCAGAGACCATCTGGTCTTAAGGGGGGAAATGAAGAAAACAAGTACAGCAAGGCACAGACAAGCAAGTGGAAACACAAAGGTACAAAATTATGAATAAAAATTACCTTAAAAAGTAATACCATTAAATGCTATTGACCAAAAGTCTTGCAAAGGCAAGAGTCACATTTGTGTCAGTGTCAGCTAACATCATAGCGTCAGTCTCCTGCTTTAAAGCAGGGCTCCATTTTTTGTTGTTGTTCAGTCGCACAGTCAAGTCTGACTCTTCGCGACCCCATGGACCAGCTCCCGCCAGGCCCTCCTGTCTTCCGCCATCTTCCGAAGCCCGCTCAATTTCATGTTCATTGCATCTATGACACTAACTAACCATCTCATCCTTTGCTGTCCCCGTCTTCTTTGACCTTCAATCTTTCCCAGCATCAGGGTCTTCTCCAGTGAGTTCTCCCTTCTCATTGGGTGGCCAAACTATTTGAGCTTCAGTTTCATTATCTGGCCTTCCAGGGAACAGTCAGGGTTGATTTCTTTTAGGATTGACTGATTTGATCTTCTTGCAGTCCAAGGGACTCTCAAGAGTCTTCTCCAGCACCATAGTTCAAAATAATCTATTCTTCGGCGCTCGACCTTCCTTATAGTCCAACTCTCGCAGCCATACATGACTACTGGGAATACCATTGCTCTGACCATGTGGACTTTTGTTTTAGATGTATTCTATGATCGACTCTCCATAGTCAGTGTTATATTTGTTGCATCAATGAAACTTGCTAAGTGGTATCCAAAAAGCTGAGAGTTACAGTCAGAAATCCACTTAGAGTATTAAATCCCCACTAGCTCCCATTGTAGCCAGACACTAGCCTTAGAGAATAGTAGTCTGTATTTGGGAGCTGTTAAAAAAAAAAAAAAACCTTACAGAAAGCAGGTAGAGCGTTTAGGACCGAGAGATCCAAATAGTATAGGGAGCATACCCTTTGAGCTCGACAGCCAGTGCTCCATTTATTGAAGTGTAGTGCGCTAGATGTAATCCGCTTACATGCAGAGGGATATTCCATTTGGTCAAGAAACTCAAAGGAAAAGCCCAGCCTCTGTAGACTGTCATTGACTAATTTTAGCCATGAGCTTTGAAGAGCATCATTAGCAAGATGGGGCAGATAGTACCCTATTCGAGAATAGGACATTTTAATTAATGTTGCTATCTGAGCTTTGGCCTCCAGGGATAGTTCAGCAAATTCGGAATGAATGGCTAGACCAGAGATACACATTGGCAAACTGGAGGTTAAGCAAGAGTCATAATTATCGTTAACCTTGGCTGTGGTCAACTTCACACCATATAGTACTGATGGAACTTTTTGTTCTTGTTGTTGTTCAGTCGCACAGTCGAGTCCAACTCTTCATGACCCCATGGACCAGATCACGCCAGGCCTTCCTGTCTTCCACCGTCCTCTGAAGTTGGCTCAATTTTATGTTTGTTGCATCTATGACACTGTGTAACCATCTCATCCTTTGCCGTCCTCGTCTTCTTTGACCTTCAATGTTTCCCAGCATCAGGGTCTTCTCCAGTGAGTGCTCCCTTCTCATTTGGTGGAACTACCTTAGCCTGAAAAGCCCAGGGAGCAGCATGTACATATTTACCTCCTGATGTCCAAAAGAATCTTAGGAGATCTGACGAGTGTACTGGTGCTAAATTCTTAGAAGCAATAGTATGATTTTTCCCGGAAAAAAATTACAAGAAAAAAAGGACACAGAGATACTGGAAATGGTTGACCTGATCAATTTGTTAGAAGATGTGATTAAAACTGTGTTCTTATCTGTATTGTGCTGATGCTTGAATGTATGCAATGTATCTGCATTTGTGTATGGGTTTGGAATGTTGTGTGATTTGCTTGCTTTGCTTGCCTGCATTTGGAAGCTGCTGTGCCAATGTGCTGCCTGCACCAGTATGCTAATGAAGGCACACACACACACCTACCCATCCTTCCTTGGGAAGAAGAAGCATTCTCCATTATGCTCAGCCACAAGGACTCCCACAAACAAGTATTCCTCCATCAAGGAGTTCCTGGATAACACGTAACCCTGTATCTGGTTTGCATCTGAAAGTGACTTTTTCCTGTTTACGACCCCTGGACCAAGCCAGAGCATCTTCACATCAAAGGTTTCCATGGCAATGCAACTGTGACACCTTGACCAAATGGTTCCTATAGAAGCATAGGGTAGAATTTGAATATTGCCCCACTCCCTCTTGATAGGTACGTTACATCCCAATGACCAATAGACATAGGGACTGGGACGGACTAAGGACAGGAGGTTGGCACTGATGCCAACCCCCAAACTAGGTTTTAAAAGGCGATGTTCATCCTTTGTTTGTTGCTAGCCGTCGTTACCCCACCAAAGTTCTGCCAGCTAGCAAGCCAGCTAGCTAACTATCCACCCCCCCCACCACCACCTAGGCAACTGAAGCTCTGCTAGAGGTAATTCTTGAGTGCTCTCTTGGACTGCGCAACCAGGAGGCCCCCCCACCACCACCTAGGCAACTGAAGCTCTGCTAGAGGTAATTCTTGAGTGCTCTCTTGGACTGCGCAACCAGGAGGCCCACATGTGTTGGCTGGTCCAACTGTGTGCAGTAGAATCCCTCTAGTGACATCTTTTGTTCCCACATTCTTCATTGAGAAGATCAATCTCTCTCTGGATCAGATACGTATTAATCGTTACCCTTTTCTGTGTTTACCTCCAATTAGTTAAAGCTTTATTATTTTCTATACTGATTGCTTTCCATTTCTATTGTACCTAAAGGAACTTGTCAGTGTGTGCTTGAACGAATCTGTTTTTTATGCTTGTGAATTCAAATATTGCTCAGTAAAGACAACATTTATTCTTTAAACATTCAGCTGTGTTGTCTCTTTATGGGGAATAAGGAGTGTCTGTTCTGATTTCTTATCTCTGTATACATTGGTGTTCAAGAACCCCTAAGAATTAATTCTCCATCAGAGGATTTCTTCTAACAAATTGAATGGCCATTCATAGATCAAGATAAACAACGAGATGGAGCACCTTTACAGAAAAAGTAAAACTTTCATCTTTTGAAATTTTATACCTAAGAACATAAGAACATAAGAGACGCCAATGTTGGATCAGGCCAAAGGCCCATCCAGTCCAACACTCTGTGTCACACAGTGGCCAGAAATACCAGTGCCATCAGGAGGTCCACCAGTGGGGCCAGGACATTAGAAGCCCTCCCACTGTTGACCCCCCCCAAGCACCAAGAAGACAGAGCATCACTTGCCCCAGAGCCCCTAGCTATACCTTGTGGCTAATAGCCACTGATGGACCTCTGCTCCATATGCTTATCTAATTCCCTTTTGAAGCCGTCCATGCTTGTAGCACCCACCACTTCCTGTGGCAGTGAATTCCATGTGTTAATCACTCTTTGGGTGAAGAAGTACTTCTTTTTATCCGTGCACACAGTATTCCAAATGAGGTCTCACCATTGATTTATATAGGGGCATTATTATATTGGCTGATCTGTTTTCAATACCCTTCCTAATGATCCCCAGCATAGCATTGGCCTTCTTTATTGCAGTCACCTAAAGACTCCTGGGAGCAATAAAGTACAAAAGCATTCAGTAAGCATGTTAAACCAACAAATGACTGAGATATCAACACAGCATCATCGGCATAAAACACATTTGAGACAGGTCTTTGGGACAGGGGAGGTGGATGGAAAACGTCACCAAAGAGTTGACTATCAGTGTCATTTATTTATTATTTATTTATTTATTATTATCTATTATCTAGAGATGGAAGGGAAAGGAAGCCAAAAGCCAGCCTAGTCAAACACCTCTATTCACTTTGATCTCTTTGTTCAATTGACCATTATTTTGACATCTCCCCTCCGCAGTATTATTTTGATATGCTTTGTGGATTAGACAAAGAAGCTGACAATCCTTCGAGGTCAGTGCTAATTTCCCCCAAAATCTAGCATGGGAGATACAGTCTAAGTACCTTTTGAAGTCAATAAAATCCACAGAAGTTGATCTACATATGAATGATTTAGGGGTGAGTGCAAATTTTGGGCAGTTTGTGGTTCCCAAAGAGAAGTTCATAGCAGGTCAACTGGCACAAACTTTCC